CCGGGGTCGGGCTTGGTTCTCACCGTCGTTTTCTCTCCGTTTTTTAGCTACATCCGGTTTTCCCAGATCTGCGCCCAGGTTGTTCGGGCGGCGATGAAGCCTCAGTACAAAGCGGAGGCAGAGAGGGCGGCAATGGCCACGGTGAAAACCGTGAAGCCCAAGAAGGAGTAAGATGTGAGTTGAGCGGGCCGCGTGCTGTGCCGCGGTGCGGGTGCCGCAGCGTGGTGTGGAGCTAACTGCGTGCTTCATCCCCTGCTGGACGTGGAAGATCAGCTCTGATCTTCGTGCATGGCCTGGCTGGCTTATCGCTAACGTGTGCGGGTGTCTGCAGCCACATTATGTATGGGAGAGGAAACTGCCTCATCTCACTAGTTCAGTAAAGCGAGATGTTCTGTTCACCAGCCCCTGGTTTGAACGGGTTTGGTTTGGTCAAAGTCCTTAGAGAACTGACACAGAACTGCCGGGTGTCTGTAGTGGTGCTCAGAGGTTTCCTATCTCTTCACTAAGCCAACAGCAGCTCTGAACTGCTGCTTCCCCTAACCAGCAGACTTATTTGTGTAAGGGTTATCTGCTCCATGTGAAAGATAGATGCTTTACCTTTCTTTGTGGCACTGCATACATCATAAGCAGTGATGAATCTCTTTTAACTTGAACAGCTTCTGTTATTCTTGGTCTGAGATTAAACATTACTACCTTTTGTAAATTTTGTAAATATTCCATCTTCTTGGATGTAGTAACTTGTATTTTAAATCTCTTGTAGGAACTGATCTGTGGTGAATACTGCAGCACCAGATGGCAAAGCTGTGGGCAAGCTCAAGACTCTGCAATATAACATCATTACATTAACAGTAAAACTTGCCTCTGTATGCACATCAGCATGCTAATAAATGTAATGTCTGTTAAACAACTGCATGTGAGAAGTGGTGTTCCTCTTGAAACAAAGTGCTCCATTTTGCAGAGACATTCATCTTTTACTTTTGTTAAAATAGAAGAATGTTCTTAATCACAGTCTGCTATTTAGTAGCAACATACGTTTAAGGCACATCTCTTGTTGGGTTTCAGGGTAATATTTCAAGTACATGAATAAGAGATTTAATCCTTATTTAAAACTTTTCTGCCTACTTCAGTGATTAATCATAACTTCAGAAAACCTGTTCTTTGCTAAAACCTATGTCAACAGGGAATATAGGCATATAATTTCAATAATTAAAAACACCTCTGTTGGTTCCCTGCTGGAAGTGGTATGTTGTTGCCTTTAAAATTCTCTGTCATCATCTTCCACTTGTGCTTAGATCAAAACAGACTTGGTGAAAATCAGTTTGATGCAGCCACAGGTTATGGCTAAATCCTCAGCATATGAAGGATATGGAACTGTTGGAGCGAGGCCAGAGGAGGCCATGGAGCTGCTGCGAGGGCTGGAGCAGCTCTGCTCTGGAGCCAGGCTGAGAGAGCTGGGCTGGGGCAGCTGGAGAAGAGAAGGCTCCTGAAGGGGACACCTTAGAGCAGCTCCAGTGCCTAAAGGGGCTCCAGGAAACCTGGAGAGGGGCTTTGGACAAGGGCCTGTAGGGACAGGACAGGACGGAATGGCTTTAACCTGCCAGAGGGGAGACTGAGATGAGCTCTTAGGAAACAATTCTTCCCTGTGAGAGTGCTGAGGCCCTGGCACACTTGACACTGCCCAGAGAAGCTGTGGCTGCCCCATCCCAGGCAGGATTCAAGGCCAGGTTGGACGCAGGGGCTTGGAGCAACCTGCTCTACTGGAAGGGGTCCCTGCCTGTGGGACTGCTGTTGTGTCAAACATGAGGAATTACTTTCTTCACAGTATAATAAACTCTTTTCTAAGGGTATTAAAAAGAAAAAGCTCAATTTCTTCCTGTTACAAAAATAAACTTTTTTGTCTATCAAATTTTCAAGTATTGATGTATTTTATGGGATTATATATGATTTTTATTTTAAAGAATATTATAAATACATGGTAAAGTAGATGGCTGTGAATGGCAAGTAACTTTTTTCCCTGAAGTTATGATATGCTTTTGATTCAGTGATTGTTGTTGAAGTTAGACCTAACTAGCTGCAAACCATTCTTTCCACTTTGTTGTACTGAATGATAGGGAGAAAATTTACAGTAGATTAGTTAGTACATGAGGAAAAAACCCAAACCAAAGACAGTTACACAGTGTCTGTAACAGTGTATGCTAATAAGTCAATCTATAGTTTGAAATAGAAACAAACCACACAACGATAATGAATACAAGCTCTGCAATAATATAAGCCAGCAATGAGATAAAACTATTAAAGTACTTTTAAAAAAGTAAGAATGTGCATATTCAGTCTTTTGCCCTGTGTTGTTTCCTCTCTTGTCCTCCTGCAGCTTAAGGAACTGCGCTTGTTGTCCGCAGAGCTACATCAGTCTGTGGAGTGTGTAATAAAAGAGACAATGCTGCTTTTGCAGGCCCTAGAGGTGTGTGTGTGGTCCTGAAACAGTAACAAGGTTACAAGCAAAACAGGGACTGTTTATCTGAGAATAAATACGTTTGATGAGTTAGTAGCGTATTTTGCTGTTGCTTATGATCCTGGTATATATTTCTACACAGGCACAGAGGCTGCATATTACATTCAGTATCAGGCAATAATCTTCAAAAGGTGAATACACTTACAAGAAAGGCTGTTATAAGACAACTTGTCTTCACAGTGGACCTTTTTTGAGAGCGAGTCAGTGTCAACAGTTGTTTAGAAGAGTAAAGCACAGCTGCCCTTAGTTTCAAAAGCACTGTATTGTGATACTGGATATATTTTGGCCTGATGCAGAGAATTCTTCAGAAAGGTGTTCCTTTCGGTTTGCAGGGGACGGTTACTGCTTTTTCTTTAGTGAGTGTTAACAGGCTTATTTGGAGAATGTTTTGATCTTGCCGTTGTTTTTATTGTGCTTCCTTTTCAGGGCTGGCTTCTGCTTCTACCTCTTCATATTCCTCAACATCTGCAGTGGCATCCTGGTACTGTTGGTACTCAGACACAAGGTCATTGGTATTACCTTCTGCTTCTGAAAACTCCATCTCATCCATGCCTTCACCTGTGTACCAATGGAGAAATGCTTTTCTTCTGAACATGGCCGAGAACTGTTCCGAAACCCTGATGAAGAGCTCCTGAATGGCTGTGTTATTGCCAATAAAGGTAGCTGCCATCTTCAGGCCTCGTGGTGGTATGTCACACACAGCCACTTTGACATTATTAGGGATCCACTCCACAAAGTAGGAACTATTCTTGGTCTGGACAGCCAACAACTGCTCATCCACTTCCCTGGTAGACATTCGGCCTCTGAAAATGCACGCCACTGTCAGGTAACGTCCACGACGAGGGTCGCAGGCTGCCATCATGTTGCGTGCATCAAACATCTGTTGAGTAAGCTCTGGCACCGAGAGGGCTCGGTACTGTTGGCTACCTCGAGCTGTCAGTGGAGCAAAGCCTGGCATAAAGAAATGCAGGCGAGGAAAGGGCACCATGTTAACAGCCAGCTTCCTCAGATCTGCATTCAGCTGGCCAGGAAAACGGAGTGAAGTTGTGACACCGCTCATCGTTAGGGACACTAAGTGGTTGAGGTCACCGTAGGTGGGATTGGTGAGCTTTAAAGTTCTAAAACATATATCATATAGAGCTTCATTGTCAATGCAAAAGGTTTCATCTGTATTCTCTATTAGTTGGTGGATGGAGAGGATGGCATTATATGGCTCTACGACCGTGTCGGATACTTTGGGTGAAGGAACAACACTGAAAGTGTTCATAATCCTGTCAGGATATTCTTCTCTGATTTTGTTGATGAGGAGTGTGCCCATACCTGAGCCTGTGCCACCACCAAGCGAATGGATGAGCTGGAATCCCTGGAGGCAGTCACAGCTCTCACACTCATTCCTGACCACATCCATGACGTTTTCAATCAGTTCAGCGCCTTCTGTGTAGTGGCCCTTAGCCCAGTTGTTCCCAGCACCTGAATTACCTATAAACGGAAAGAACAGCCACAAAGTTGGGAGTTAAAAGGCCGTCTGGGGACAGCTGACTCCAGTTAGTTTGCTGACAGCAGGCTGCACATACCATGAATAAAATTGTCAGGTCGAAAGAGTGGGCCTATTTTGCTAGACCGTACACTGTCCATCGTACCAGGCTCCAGGTCCACCAGGATAGAACGGGGCACATATTTATGGGCTAGGACAAAAGAAAATGAATTATTCAATTACTGTTAGAAGCCAAAGAGACAAGCTTATAACGGGCTTTGAAAAATCCATCCCCCCTACAATGATTTGGGGATATATCTTTTAAGTACTTATTTTAACCTCCATGTTGGCTCTGCAGATTGCTCTGCCAACACCCTGACAGTGCTGAGCACTTACAGTAAGCCTCATTGAAGTAGACGTTGATTCGCTCAAGCTGCAGTGATGCACCCCCATAGTAGTTTCCAGCGATGTCAATCCCATGTTCATCACTTATCACCTCCCAGAACTGAAAAAGGAAACGGGTTCAATACATTTACAAAGATTTACTCTTTCTTCAGCACAATGTCTTCAGCACCAAATCTACTGTGCTCATGCCTGGCTGCACACAAAGCAAGAACTTTGCCTGAAATGGGGGATGTTTTGCCATTTACTTAGATCAGAGTGCGCATCCTCCTCTTCCCCCTCCCCATGCTTAGCTATTACACATGTATTAATAGGTGGAGGCCCTCAATTTTGTCCCCTTATAGTAAAGGAAAATTGATATTAGTTTAAGTAACACAGGTACTAGTTGGTATAAGTGTAACAAAAAAGCTGGGACAGTGGACTGGGGAGGTGCACAAGTGTCATGGCAAAGCTGGCTCGGCCAACTTTGTATACTAGCGATGCTTTCCACAAACAGATGTTGGTCCTAAAAGTGTCCTATCTTGACATTCACATGGATGTCCTGTACTTGGGCTCTTATCTAGGCAGCAGCTGCAGCAGTGTTAGTGACACACCCACCCACTATAGTGACCAGGCTCTTTTAATGTTAAAGGTCTCCTGGGTTAGCATCCAGTCTTGTTCCGAGCGTACAAATACACTACTGCCAGCACACGCATGGTGTAGTGCGTGTGTGCTTTTCTTACACGTGTTATGCGACATAAGTTATTTCCAGGTCAAAGCCAACGGGAAAAATACAGACCTTCCAACTACCACACTGGCTGCATTTGAACTATCTGGGTGTAACATGATGTTCGCTGGCCATCCACAGCTTCATGTTCCAGTAAAAGGAATTAAGGTGAAATTTGTGGGAGAAAAAAATGGAGGAAGAACACAACGGAGCAATCCTTCAGCTAACGTGTCTCTTCAGAGACCTCCTGGCCCCAAATTAACCCAGACACCCTTTGTTTTTTGGCAACTTTGTACTTGTCAATTAAAAAAGAGATAAATCACGCAGCCAAAAGCAGTGAGGTTTGGTTGGGTTTTTTCTCCGAGCGCACAAAGTCAGCAATGAGTGGTGACTTCTAAATAACAAGCATGCCAGTGTCTGAACTGCACAAAAATACTCCAAACGACATGAGAGCCTCTCACAGGTGGACTGTTAGGCAGGAATCCTTCACTGCACTTTCTGCATCTCTCAGCAAAACCTAACTGGTCACTGATAGCACAGGTCATTCTGCTGGTTAATACAGTCCCATATTAATGGTCACAGTGTGGCAGAGTTACTGCTGCACGGCTGAACTAAAGCGCTGTCATTGTAACTTTGCAGGCCTGGAATTACTTGTTCCCTCACTTGTCCCAGTATTTTGCAGACTAGATTAGTGCCCCTGGGAATACAAGTCTCAGCA